TGGTGCTTGTACTGAATCCGCCACTAGTCGTTCCTCGAATCTGGTTCTATTGCTTTTTTAGTGCAATACAATGATTTATGATTGCCTAAAATACAATTGGTTTAGATAAAAATCCACTGAAGAACGCTAGGTAGTTTCGTTATAATTAGACAAATCACACTGAAAAAGCTTGAATACCGGATGCTGTGTACTAATATTAAGCCCGACTCCATCGTATAAGATTTCAATCTCTTGGATACCTAAAGAATACGCAGGACGGTTTATCTAAATTCCGTTATAAATAGTCAGTACATAATTATTAACACTGGAAACAAGTAACGGAAGGGATCGATGCGGTTCATTTTGTCACAAAACTCCTGACCGGTTTTTCATACTGCTTAATAGCGTCTATTACTGGCTAACATGCTATGTTGCGGTTCCTGGAGTCTATCTCCTTTAAATTCCCTAGGGGTACAGAAGATTGACTGCATATGAATGCTGCCAAAGGCAGTCGTGCTTAGTTACGGGAACAGATCAACATGGGGACATGGAACGATTGAGACATAGATGGTCTCAGGCTGAATAGGTGGAGGTCGTCACATCTGTCACAGTGGCTGTCGATATCCCTTTTCATTCCTTTGGCCAAAATATTTCATGCTGCCTAGTATTGTTCTCCTCATCTACTTCCAATCCCGAGATATATGGGATATAATAGGTTCGAGTGCAGTACACCTACCTATCCCCTTCCTCGAAATGCGCAGGACTTAAGCTACTGCGCTTGCGCACCTCCTAGCTTATTTCACTAATCTAAATGTCCTGCATACCACACGTCCTGTCTCAGCGCTTCACTCACCATTGTAGGATTTATTTAGGAATGTGTCCTTTTGGGTATCAACTATAGTCGCCACCCATAGTAGCCATTTCTACTCTGACCGAATCAACGTCGCAGCACCTGTCCGTGGGTTTATCTGAGCTGACAACGATTTCTAGTGTTGCACTCTAAGTGAGTATTCTTTAGCCAATCTCCACCAGGCCCCCACCTCCGGGTGGTTGATGTGCCCCCAAGCATTGACCTTTTGTTTGCAGACAATTTGACCGAAAACCTGGTGCTGCGGTTGTCACCAACCGGTGATTGGCTATAAGCACAGGGTCATACCGAGTGTAGAATGGTCCCAAATGTCGCTCACCCCCGACCCCTAGAAGAGTCGAAAACGTATCATGTAAAATCTGTTCGTTGGCCGGACTACGTAATATCTCGCTAGTTGAACGTATCGATCGCTTCCGCTGAATTTTGAGGATCCTGTGGACGGCCTTTAAGGTTGGCGATATTACCCCCACAAGCAAACTACAACCAACTGCTGGAAATGATTCTAGTATTTCAGTAAACATCGATGTCATTTAGGTCGACAAGAAGACCCTAACTGCTCACCACGAAATGGGGTAGTTGAATCCACTTCGAAATTCCTCTGCCACCGACGTAGACGAAACGACACATTTTCCCATCACATCCCCAGCCCCACCCTTGCGATGTAATCACAGCAGTCTTTGCCCATTGCCCTCTGTTTTGGACTCCAAAAAGCATTCCGACGGTGTGAATAACCTACAATCTCCGAATGACTAACCGTCTAATGAACGATAGTAGATTTTAAGAAATTCCGAATCATGAACATTTAGGTTCGCTCGAGAAATCGGAAGCCAATTAGTTTTTGCATATCAGTCATCCTCAGGGAAAACATCTGAGCGTCAGAAAGTAACACGGAAGTTGTTAAGAAGATTGACCACTCTCTTTCTTTATTTTCCTCCAATTTATCAACGTCGACTGAATACTGATAGTCAAAGAGTGAGAGATCCTCAGCGAGCTCTGCCGGCTCCGTATCATGATCGATACCGTAGATACCGTAGACGTTGCTGTTTCAATTCCAGGGTCTCAGC